GATAGAAAAATATAAGTAAAGAACAGATAAAGAACTTCATCTGGAAGGAAAACAGTCATGCTTAACAAGTTCAAACAGTATTCGTTAACTATCATCGGGAAGGGAAGAAAGAAGGAAATTGCAACACGTTCGCCATTGGTTACAATTCTTGTCCATATGCAATAACGTTTCGAGCCATCGATTTGAGCTATCTCGTGGACCCCAACCAGGGAGTCGTGACACACCAACCGATGCTAATCTGCCACAAAAATCCTTCATCCCACGACGCCACATCATGGACTGACCACCTCTCCACCTTTTCCATCCCGTCCCACGGCTAGCGAACAGAGACCTGTACGGAAGCCTCTGGAATGACATTCGCAGCACATGTCCAAGCCACCGGAGCCGGTGCTTCCAGATGACGACACGCAACGAATGGTGACCTCCACTGTGTTCAAACACACGCCACCTAACCTCAGAATTACTCACACGATGATGCCATCGAAAGCAAGCAATCCTGCGGAAACAGCAATGACCGAACACGCAGAGTCGCTGCACATCCTCAGCTCGGAGAAGCCAGGTTTCACAGGCGTAGAGCAAGACAGCCGGCACCGAAGCATTGTATACCCGACCTTTGACAGCCAGGCTAACATCGCGACGGTGCCATAGGTGGCTCAAGTTGATGTATGCCACCCTAACCTTCATTATACGGTTGGAAATCTCATCCATCACCCCTCCGCCAGCACTCACACAACTACCCAGATACACAAACTTAACAACTTCAAGCGGTTCAACCGCAACAGTGAATGCAGGTACATGCTCCTGTCAATCTTGTGACAGTACTTTGCACTTAGACAGCGCAAAGTACATACCATACTTACAGACACTGATCGCCAACTGATTAAGTGCGATTTGGGCAGCCTGTATGCTATCGCACAGTAAGACGATATTGTCTGCATACTCGAGGTTCAAAAGTCTATCTCCAGGTAGCAGACCTGCATTACCTTCACGCACATCCTTCAGAGCTGACTCCAGAATGTCACCGATGACAAAGTTAAAGAGAAATGGAGAGATTGGGCAACCCTGTCTAACCCCACTGTTGGTTGGGAACAGTGATGATAGTTAGTTGTATGCCGAGGTGTTTCTATATAGGGCTTTCAAGATGTTAACAAATTTCTCAGATACACCTCTCTCTAACAGACAGTTCCAAAGCACAGTTCTGTCCAACGAATCAAGAAACACAACGATCGTTGGCCTGCAATACGTGTGGCGGTGTTCCAACAACTGACGAAGGGTGAATACATGATCAATGCATCCCCGACCTGAAAAAAACCCAGCCTGCTCTTCGAGAATCAATCCCTCACGTATTTTGCACAGCCTACGAAGCAAGACGGCAGCCAATATTTTAGACGCGACTGGTAGCAGACTGATACCCCTTTGATTGTCACACGAATTACCTCGACCTTTTTTTAAAGATGGGGACAATAATGACTTCGTTCCACATTGATGGTACACTCTCAGTCTCCCATACCTTCCTGAACAACCAAGTTAGAGCTATTGCGAGAGTCTCGCCACCATCTTTAAAAAGAGCCGGGGGTAGAATATCTGGGCCGGACGCTTTATGGCGTTCCTTACGGACCTCCGCTTCGGTGGGTGGGTTGGTACTAACCGACCAAGGAGAACTGGGGCTAATGACAGCAGACACTGAAGCCGGTGGCCAGCTAAACTGTTTCCCGAAGTGCTCTGCCCAGCGTTCCAGAAGTCTTTTCAAGCTGCTAATTGGCATGCCATCTACCTCTCAGACCGTCTCGTTGACACCTCGCCGGTAGGAAAGAGTAAATTATTGCACGATAAACTCGGAGACATATGGACATGTGTATACTTAGTGGTGCAGCTAGCGTATCCTAGAAAAAGCCAATTCAGAACTTAATAATTGTGTCAGAATTCATAAGTCATCAAACCATAAAGGCATCTTCCCAGATAAGTATAAAGTTGCTCAACATGTTCAACACTCAATGAGACAACCTCAGACAAGGTGAGCATGCATATCTTCAGGAAAAATCATACTTTCAATGGGAAACTATAACAAAACAAAGTCTGATCCTCTACTTTAGTTTTTTTGGGGGGAGTTGAAAAACCTAAACGGAACGTAGACTCCGATGTATTTATCTGATATGAATGCCGGTAGAAAAAGTTTCTTCTTTAACGAAAATAGAAATCCCAAATTGTAGCGACAATATTAAAATCAAGATGACTAAAATTCAACCGAGAATTTTCGCGCATATATACACATAAAATATGGAGAGAAAGAAGACAGAGGCTAGTAGTAGTAGTAGCATTCTACGTCGTTAAAACCTTTTATCGTTTTTTACACGTGCGCAAGAATGAAAACGCAAAAAGGGATAATAACGTATAGCTAGATAAAGCACATTTTAGCTTAACTGAGGATAAAGAAGGTCAGTTTGTTGTCACTTGCAGTCTACCAATTAGAGAACGAAACGTTCAAGGCCATTGTGGGGAAACAAAGGCCAAACTAGAAAGAGAGAGACACAAACACACATAAAAAGAGAGAGATAATGTAAAAAGGTCTATCATTTCTATACAGGCTTAAGCAATAACAGCTTATTTATCGATCGTCGATAGTATAACCAGTAGGTGTTTATGTCAGATGCATGCGCCAAGACGTAAAACAAAATAATGGCTTTAAATTTGCAGCAAGCAGAGAATTGACGTGATGGTGATGATGATAAAAGCGACTCTTTACAACATAATTTAAAGCAAGACAACAATGGATGCAAATAAAGTATAATTATATTCTAATGGTTTACACACAGTGATAAGTTTTGTTATTGGTAATATTTCGAGCAAAATTACTGCCAGTGTTGTGTGTAAACCATTGAAATATAATTATACTTGATTTGATCTATTCCACAATGCCCAAACTTTTTACTGACATTAACAATGGATGCGATGTTTATGCAAGCAAGCATTAGATTGATGATGTGTGCAACAACAGACACATTAAATGTGAGATCGAACTGCTTCTTATTTTTATAAAGAATAAATATGCCTCGAAACTTTATAAATCGATCGCTGAACAGATGATGAGGTAGTACTTAAAAGGAAATAACCCATAAGCCATTTTAATGGACAAATATTACATGCATATATCTATATAAACGAAAAAATGTATATTAACAAGAATTCTACACGTATTGTTCACCTTTAAAATACTAAATACGCCATTTCACTCCACGTTACTTAATCTATCATGGTTAAGTGTTTTTACTTGAATAAGATCACAATTTATTAGTGACGTGAAACGAACGGCAGTGAATAATAATGACTCAAATATTAGCTAATTTTCGTCCTAAAAAAGTACTCTGATTTATTAGTAACCTAACGGATAGCAGTCGAGGGGACGAGGTGATAGGTATAGAAGTATAGAGAGTGATATGAGAGAAGTCAGATGTGTTCTTCAAACGACTAACGGGGAGGGGAGTAAGAAAACGTCAGCCCCATAATTGTATAACCAAGCTTACCGTTCAGTGGTACGCAGCCGGCAGTAAAAGCTTTGTACAGATATGCCTTCTTCAATCACTTCAAACAAGGTAGTGTGTCTGGCCACAAGGTATCGCTCTCTAGGCTCGGTGGTCACATAATATTTAAAAATTTCCCCTTTTAAGTACTCCAATAAAAAGTTAACTTCCATAAAATTGGCAAGCGCCCATACACTTCTTCAGGATGTTGTCCAAATTCCAGTAGGGGCTAGAACCCATGAAGTACTATAGAAAACTTAGCCCCTAGCCCAGTGATTCACAGCACCAACTTATTATAACGTGTATGAAATCAGTCATCCAACAACTGAGTGAATGAATAACATCATGAATCAAAACTGTTGACGCAAAAAACTGTGACATACTACTTCAAACACAACCAGACGTTGTAAACAACAAAAACAAACAACTTACATCGCTTAATCTTGACTGAGGACGACAGCTTGTATCTTCAAAATTATTAGGTATACCTTCACTTTGGTTATCAGGTCTGGTAGCACTATTAGTATTACTGTTATTAGCGTTAGGACTTTCAGACTGAACTTCGTTCATTTTCACCTGAAAATCTTTTGATAAACTACGAGGTCTTGGTTGAGACTGCATGTGCGCTGAAGAACCATATGAGGCAGAATGTGGTGACCAAGACGATGGTTGAGATCCACTACTATGTACTGGTGAGGAAACTTGTGTATTTGAGAATGCCGCATGGGTTGGACTGTTGAGATAATTGATACTCCTTGATGGTGGGCGCTCAACTTGATTTGGAGTACCTCCTCCAGGAGTAGACTGAAGTGGGGGTCTTGGTTGATTGCAAGTGTTTATATTTGCATACTCTAGGCCCGAAGGTTGGGGTACGCGGGACCTCTGCACCATTGATTGTGACTGAGGATAGTATGGATAATTTGGACCAGGTGGGTATGGAAGATATGAACGAGTGTAGGGATCTACAAAACGTTGAGCTCCAGAGTACGAACATACACTTGCCTAGAAAGTTGGAAAATCAAATTAAAACAAGTCTTAGGGAATAAACTATGTATTATGCAATGGAATTCTTAATATCATAACCTAAAATATATTTTTCAATTCTTTAACGCTGCACTGAGTTATACCGAATATCATAAAGATTGACTTTGGGTCCTCAAACCAAAACCTAAAGGGTGTCCTCTCTAATATTAATTATCTGAGGAACAAGTTAGGAACTAATAATAAGATCATAGTTATTTATGAGAACTTAATTGTAAAATGATACTTCATGAACTAGGGAAATCGTGTATGGTAAAGCAACGTCTCTGAAAAAGCTGAAGTTGCTCAAAAAATGAGTCCTAAAACAGTTAAGTTAGCGAGACTGACTACAGAATACATAAGTATTTCACAAATATTTCACTCATAATACAGAGGTTTTATGCGTCGGTGGCACACCGGTTAGGACGCTTGCCGACCATGCACATGGTCCGAGGTTCGATCCTCGGCCGACGCACTCCTTTACCTCGCTAAGCCACAGATAATGCTGGCAAAGAGGAAAGGTTGGGCATGGAGCTAGCAACCCCATCCTGCAAAAATAAACACTGCTGCAGAAACTTCAAGCCACTAGCTTGAAGCCCTATGTTCCACTGGGGAACGTGAAGGAAAAATTATTTATTATAATACAGAGGTTTTTGAGACGATAACTTCAACCTTATCAGGAACGGTTTAACATGCTTATACTCACTCTTTAGTCACAAACTTAATGAAATGTTGACGCAGGAATGTAGTGCTAGCAGAGCCCCGAACAACTGTGAGCACCTCTTAGGCGAAGTAGACTACTGTGATCTGATGAGCTATAATTAAAAGGCATAGCCAGATGAGCCTTAATTATTAGGTATACTTAAACACTTTTGGTGGCCTTGGAGCGCAGAAAAAATTATCCCATGAAGAGTTTACATAAAGCGGTGTCAGTCAAAGATGTCTTCATCTTTCCTCAACTTTACAACATAAATGCTACGTTTCCCTAACTCTTTCTGTATTTCCAATCAGCAAGCCCCAGGATCTCTTGGTTGACGTAGAGTGTAGAAATCAAAAGTTATGTTATACAAAGATGCAGTCCGAACATAAAGTGAAAAATGGACAGTCTATGAGGTGTGTTCCTTTCTTTCAGGTCTAACCGAGTGATGGTAAAAGATACAGCGAGATGAATACAAAAGGCTTAACTCTATTTTCACTACATCAAAGATATGTATGATTCCTTACTATGAGTCAAGTGTACAGCGTAACAGTGTGTTTTGTCCCGTTGTATGGCTGCGAAATAAGCTCATTAAAGATGGAAGATATGTGAATGACTCAAGTATTTGTCCACTGTTACTTTGAATTTTTTCTGGTGTTTAGTAAAACTGCCGCATGAGAAAATGTAAATGAGTAGTTTCCTTGGCATGTCATATGAGTCAGTTGGCGAATTTATAAAACTTCATTCACTGAAGTGAATAAAACATGTTACATATACCTACTCATTACGGATAAGATTTTATTTTGATAAATTACACAGTGTTGTACAGTTATATTAACTGATGACGTTCCGAGCACAAACTATTGCTCATAATCATATCAAATTACTCACACAACTGTTTTTCTTCATTTATATACATGTGTGGAATCGATTAGATATTGGATTAAAAATCAGTATGAGATAATGTATATTCAGAAATAATAATACGAGTGTTTTTTACAGTCATAATAAGCTACCACAGTGCCCAATTTTTATACTTATATCAATATACCTAGTCAGTTTACCTCTACCAACACAAGGTATCAAGATATATGGTTGCAAACTACTAACGTGAGACCTGTAGATCACTCAGAATCGACTTCAGTGACGCAGATCAATTTATGAATTGTCGTAATTTTAACTGCTGTATCATATTTCTCTGTTTACTGTCTTTCATTCTTTTTTCTTAGTACGCTGATATCATTAATACTATTCTGTTTCCGCTTATTTACTTTTAACCTCATGTGCAGATACAAAGTTTGGTGAGTTGGTGAACTCACAAAAACACTGAGTGGCATGTTGATAATGTATGCAACAATTAGACCTCACCTAATATGATGATCTATGATACTATCTGGTTGCCTTCGTCAATTTACATAGAGCAGGCTTTGAGCCAAAACTCTATTGGCTTAAGACTAGGCTTCTAAACTGATTAGCGACACGTCTGTATCCCAGTAGAAAGGAAGGTGTAAAGACAATAAATTCACACAGAACGAAACCAAAGAATCCATGTAAAATCCAATAAATATGGTATATGTAGAAACATGACATAATCTACCTCTACAGTAGTAATGCTGATGGATAAAACGCACCACCTGAATGTAATGATTAACAGTGAAATAATATTAAATTAGAATACTATGCGATGCTTCGTATGAAAAAAAATGCTTAGCACTGCACATTAAGAAAGGACACTCAAATTACTACAGGGCACTTTAAGTGAAAAACAACCATGTATTCAGTATAAAAAATGTAACTGTCTACAGAATTTGTCACAAGTCTTAGTCCCTGTAATACACACATTTCAAATGATGAATATAATAATAATTAATGTACATTATATTTTCTGAAATAAAAAGTCCAAATTGATGATACATCCTACAATGAGATGCCAGTCATCATGTACACTGCAACTTCACAAGAAAACGCTCAAAGCTCCCTAGCATTTAAACAATACTGATACAAGAACGATGAATATTAGGCTTACAAAAGAGAATAATGCAATATGAGTGCTTCTAATCAGAACACAGTCAACAAGATATTGACAGAAAATATAATCGGAAAAAAGTTTAATACATTCAGTCATCATATTCGAAACCCACCCAAAATAAACACTTCTCTTAGAAAAAACAACAGATTAAGCAGAGAAATATATTCCTTTACAATCAGTGCCTCATCATCGGCTGGCTCTACACTAATATATAGTTTTTTACATCAAAATTTTACCAATCGAGTGGTCGTTTTAGTTAATCTGTTTTAGGTATAGGGGGGGGATTAACAGGTTAACAATTAACTAATAGGTGTCAGTAACAAGATATTTAGCACTTCTTACGAAGAGAAACTGAACGCTGATTTACCGCGTTAAACGGACTGTAAAAAATGCGGAATATTAACAGGTGAACTTATAGGTAGCATTGAATTAGTTTCTAGGGTTCAAATACCTGAAAACTGAAAATCATTTACCTTTAATTAGCAAGTTTCACTGAACAAAGTCGCTGATGAGGGGTAATGATAACTGGATAATAATACTAGGTTTATGAGATCAGGCATGCAACAAAACAGGTGACATCCGCCGTCTGTAGGTGAGGTTACAAAAGCTATCAGTAATTTGAAACGAGGCAAAGCGGCAGGACCCGACGGAATTATTCCGGAGGTGTTTAAATATGGGGGTGACATACTAGTTTGTAGATTAACTGAGGTACTAGGCAAAGTCTGGGAATCAGAGACAGTACCATCAGACTGGGGTAAGTCACTTATTATACCGATATTCAAGAAGGGAAACAAGTCCTCGTGTGATAATCATAGGGGGATCAGCCTAACGAACATAGTCTCTAAAATCCTAGGCTCAGTAATCATGCATAGACTAAGCAGAACTCGGGAGGAACAGACAAGGGAAAATCAAGCAGGCTTTAGACCAGGTAGAGGGTGCATAGATCATATCTTCACTCTTCGACAGATTCTAGAACATAGACACACTTTTCGGCGTCCAACAATTGTCATATTTCTTGACTTGAAGGCGGCCTTCGACTCCGTGGATCGAAAGGTACTATGGCAATGTCTGACTGTGAAGGGAGTGCCAAGAAAGTACATTGCACTAATCAAGGCACTCTATTCAAACTCACGTAGTCGTGTAAGGGCTTATGGGGAATTGTCATCTGAATTAGTAACAACCAGTGGTGTCCGACAGGGATGTCCACTTTCCCCATTTCTGTTTAACTTCATCATAGATATGCTAATGGAAGTATCCTTAACTGAACGTAGTGACTTAGGAATCGACTTGTTACCAGGGAATAATCTAATGGACTTAGAATATGCAGATGACATAGTCCTGTTAGGGGAGGATGCTGACAAAATGCAGAGTCTTCTGAACACCTTGAGCAGCAATCTTCGTATGTTTGGCATGCGATTCGCCCCTGCAAAATGTAAGATGCTGCTACAGGACTGGACCCGTCAACCCTAACTTAGTGATAGGGAGTGAAGTGATAGAACATGTTGACCACTTCACCTACTTGGGAAGTTGTATTAGCACCAACGGACTGATTGGCGATGAAATCTCAGCACGGATCCGAAAAGCTCGAGCTGCTTTCGCTGACTTACACCATCTCTGGCGTAGGCGTGACATCCGGTTATCAACCAAGGGACGTGTGTACTGCTCATCAGTTCGCTCCGTCCTTCTCTATGGCTCTGAAACATGGCCAATACGCGTTGAAGACATGAAAAGGTTGACTGCTTTCGATCATAGATGTCTGCGATCTCTGTCTCACGTTAGGTGGTTTCACAAGATAAGTAATGTTGACGTTAGGCGTAGAGTGTTGGGCAAAGAGGGAAAATCAATCGACGAGGCTATAAAGTTACATAGACTAAGATGGCTAGGTCACGTGCTGCGCATGCCTAACCACCGCCTCCCCCGACGGGCATTGCTAGCTGATATAGGTTCAGGTTGGAAAAGAGCCAGTGGTGGCCAAACAAAAACATGGCATCAATCCATGAAATCCTTGACAGTTAAACTGAGTCAGGTAGGGAGATGCAGACTCCCGGGTTGGGGCCCTCGGGACTCTAGGAATCAATGGCTGGAGACAATAGGTGACATGGCTCAAAATCGTTGTCAATGGCGCAGATGTATTCAGTCTCTGTAATCTTTCATATTCCTTTCTACCATTACCCATTCTGTTTCACTCTTATATTTGTCAAACTCTATTGATTCTCTTCACTCATCTTCTTGTCTACCTTGTGTGCTATTTGGAAC